TTCTAGGGCTGTGTTAGAAACACAGGGTTGAGATGGCTGAGCATTATAGCGCTGCCTTTAATCCCAGCACTTGGGAGGAAGAGGGTCTCATTTCATTCTTATGGAATAATTTCACCTACCGACCTCAGAACTGTATTATTATACGCTGTAGTTAAAGACTGAATTATCATTTGAAGCAAAAATTGTTTCAAATATAGTAAGCTATTTTTAAGCCCCTCAAATCTAGAAGCACATAAAACTTTAAGTAGGGTTCTTTCAGTATCACAAGATATACTCAAGATATTTAAGAATATATTCATACAAACATTCATACATGATAGCTCACAGCAGTGAGGATCATATTAAACCAAATGTGGTAATATATTAAATATTCACCAATTAATGAATGGGCAAATAAAAAGATATTGCCATGCAATGAAATAAGATGAACTCCTGAAAAGAATGGAATTCTATGCACACATAACGTGGATGACACTGGAAATGATCAAGTTAAGTGAGATCAACTTATTGTAGGATTCTATTTCTCTTCCATGAACAGATAGGGTAACTCTGTAGAGGCATCAAGAAAATGGACAGTTTCTAAGAATGGGGAATAGGAGGACATAGAGAGTCAATTCTAACAAGCAAACAGTTCCTCACTGAGATGATCAAATGTTCTGGAATTAGATGTCTATTAAGGATTATTACCCATGAAGGTGAATAACTGAAAACCACTAAATCACATACATTAAAATAGTGTATATGATATTCTAAATTATAACTAAGTAATTTTTAAAGTAAAAAGGCAAGTTTGGTCTTACATAAATGGAAATTATAGAATACCTTCCCTCTGTTAGCGTCTTTGTAATTGCTTTACTTAAATTGACTTGTTTCACCCTCACAATGATGCCAAATATTTTATAGATGATAAAGCTGAAGTACCTTGCTCAATGTCCACCTTGTTTTATTTTGTGGACCAAGTTGAGTTAGAAAAATAGGCAGTCTGACTCCAAATGCAGGCTTTCCACTAACTTACAGATATAACACCCTTTAAGAAGTTGGAGCTACGCAAATTTCCTAAAAGTCCTGAGTGCTGATATCCTCCCTTAGAGAATGATGACATTCTCTGTGTTTGATTGAATATCACCAAAGGAGAGCCAAGTAGTAGTGAAAAGTATAGAAGACCCAAAAAAGCATAAAATGTTTCTATCAGTCCCTAAACATAAAAAGTATCAATCCTTCAATTATAACATATACAATGCTATGAAACTAACATTATAAATTTCAATCCTCTTCCTTAGAGCCCCTTAATTTCTCTACTTTCTGCAAAATAAAATTGCAGCTGTGATTATCAATTCACTGGTAATAAATGGAATGCTTATGTTCTCTTCAGATTAATGTACTGAAATCCAAATCCCCAAAGTAATGGTATTAGGAAATGGGTCCATTGCACCAAGAGAGCAGCTTCCTTGTGAAGGGTAAAGATTAATGCCCTACAAAAGCTACAAGACTAATTTGGTCCTACCGCCATGTGACGTTATACCAAAGGATGACCATCTGTGAACAAGAGAGCAGGTTTCCTGTGACTTGGATATGGCCAGTACCTTGACCTTGGTCTCAGCAATCTCAGAAATATTGGAATCAGTTCTTGGCTGTTCAGAAGCCATCCTGTCTATGGTCTTCTGTGACTGCAACCCCAAGTCACTTTCCTTATGGGTGAAGCTACTATGTCCTTTACCAAAATATTCTCAAAATAGTTGAATTAGTTTATTTGACATCTAATAAAACATGAAAATTACCTATATTTTGTTGACTCAGATATACGGATTTGGAAAAAACTCTGACTGCCTCCCCTGTGTCATCTCACTCTTAGCTTGGCTGTTCATTGGTCTCTCAAGACTAATCCAAGTAGAGCCACTGTAGGGGTCTGCCTGAACAGTCAGATCACTGTGGCATGGATTTCAGAAAGGTAGTCACTAGTCTTCCCTAATCCAGCTACACAACTCATTCCTTGATTTAGAACTTTACATGAAAACATCTGTTATCACAATCAATCTGGACAGGAAAAGGCTAGTTCCCTCTTGTTGGTTCCATATAGTGGAAGCTGTACCACTCAGTGGCTTTCTCTTCATGATTGTACCATCCATTTTCTTATTGTTAACACAAGACTCTCAGGAACAGTCATCTTTGGGAATTATCTTCAACTAAACAAAGACACCTTATCCAGTGTCATGTCCCTTTTCCCAGAGGCAAGCCACAACCAAGAACTGTAACTACAGAAAAATAAAAGCCAACCCCTTGGGCTCAAGGATTTTTCTCACACCAAAGATATGATCCCTTAGAACATTATCCCATAAAATGGCTCAAAGGCTGTTTCTTGTAAAAATTCATCCCTGCCATGCTTTTCCACTTGGAATTTTAATGTGGCATTTGATATTATGTCTGAAAATTGGAAGTAGAATTTTAGAGTAGAAAATGACCATATATGACTCAGCATATTCTACTCATCATTGGTTCATTCCAGAGATGCTGGATCCTTCTTCTCCTCTCCTTTGCAGGGTAAACACATCACATTGCGCATTAAGTCATTCTTTTCAGAAGCAACCATAAGCGAAAGTCAGCTCTTTTCATAGTCTTGGGACTCTAAAATATGACAGAGATGACTACGGGAAGATACTCTGAAGTCCAGATTTCCCCCTGGTATAGGATGTAAATTTAGTTTGAAATAATAAAACATTCATTGTGGAAAGTTGTCTAATCAGTGACCTCCAATGATTATCTTAATCTGTTGGGTGACTTTGTTTTTTCAGTTGGGTGAAAACATTGGCTAGGGAAGAATCTTAATTACTATGTAATTACTAAACATACACTGACTATGGGCACTCTTTTTTAATCATTTTTTATTTTAATTTTAAATAGCTTGTTTTACATGTCAATCCCAGTTCCCTCTCCCTCCCCTCCTCCCGCACTCCCCTTCCCCCCTAGCCTCCCAACCTATTACCAATTCCTTCCATATAGGGGATATCTAGAGTCTGTCATTTCACTCCAGGTAGGGTCCAGGCATTCCCCTAAGAGTACAGGCTGAGAGAGCATCCCTCTTTGTGCTATGGGCACACGATGACTGTTTGTATTCCAGGGATAGACACTGATCCACTGCTCAAGGCCCCATAGGTTGCCCAGGCCTTCTCACTGACACTTACATTTGAGGGGGGGTCCAGATCAGTCCCATGTTAGCCTCCCCACTGTCAGTCTGGGGTCCAAGAGCTCTCCCCTGCTCAGATCAGCAGTCTCTGCTGGTTTTGCCAGCCCATTCTTTGCCAATTTGCTCATCACTCCTCTCTGCCACTGGGTTCCTTGGGTTCAGTTCAGTGCTTAATTGTGTGTTTGCCTCTGCTTCCATCAGTCACTGGATGAAGGCTCCCAGATGGTTATAGACATCAAGTTCATTATCAGGAATGAGCATTCGAGGTGGTCTCTCCACTATTGCTTAGCTTGCCAAGTGGTGTTATCCCTTTAGATCAGAGGCTTTTGTACATCCAATAAAGAAACCTCCGTTCCATACTACTAATCATTGCAACATTTTTTATCACTTTGCTTGCTTACAGCACTGTTACTCTGACAATATGAGAAGCCACAGAGCTTCTAGCTCCTAACTCTCTTGGAGCAAATACAAAGATCAGTTTGGGAAATTTGAAACACTATATTAGGGGCTTGGGAAAGTTATCATAAATATTACAAATTGATATAAATACTATCTATAATATATACATGTACTAGTGTGTTGATATACATATATAAAGAAAAGGGAAAAGAAAATTGCTAATAGCATACAGTAAACATTAATAAATTAAATAACTAAATCACAAATTAATAAATCAAAAGAGAGCCTCTCAAGATATGCTAGTGAACATAAGCTCTCTCTTGTCTGCTTCCAACAACTACTTTTTTATCTTGATGAGAGTTTTTCAGTCTGGAATTTTGAAATAAAAAAATGCATTCTCTAGACTCATTCCCAGCTTCACAAGTACAAAAAGAAGCAAAAGTTACCAGAGAATTAGAATCAGAAAACAACAAGGAATCATACCCATTTCCTCTTCATGGCAGAGCATACAGAAGTATACAATCCCAGGCTGTTAGGAGAACTGTTAGTGTGACCCCACAGAGGCTACAGATGTGAAGCAGAGCAAGCTTCCAGCAGACAAGCAGCACAAGGTAGCAGCAACTCTACTGAGACTCCAACAATAGACATCCCCAGACACTGAAAAACTTAAGTTCTTTCTTCTGTTAGCACATGATAATGGGCTAAGGAGGTGTTAATTGTTAGCACTACAGAACACTCTTCACAAGGAGTGAAGTCCTCACCATAGACTCAACAGGAAAGTAAAATGGGTTGAGGAGGACAATAACAACGAGAATGCTAAAACCGTGACCTTCAGAACCAGCTAACTCCAGAGACAAGTGTTCTCATTCCGATGTCTCAGTATTTTGGATATAAATTTACAGAGGGAATAGGGACAGGAAGGAAGGGGAAAGAAAACAACGGCAGGGCAAGGAAGGAAAGAGAAAAGAATAGGAAAAAAGTCAACTCTTAAAATGTGGTCCCGATTTACTTTAAGTCTGGACTGTAGACCACATTCCAAAAGACAATCTGTTTTACAATGCATAACTGAAGCATACCACTACTTTTGAAACCCACTGGGCAGAACACATGGGGCAGAGCGCACAGTCATGGGAGATTTAAAAAAGGGTTGAGTTATTTGTAAACATAAGGTACAAGAAATCCAGTTCAAAGGAACAGATTCCCCACACAGGCGATGGGAGAAAAGCGCTAGGACCTTTCTTAGGCAGAGCTTTCATGAGCTCGTAGTCTTTCTACTTTACACAGGAATACGGGAATTGTTGCAAAATGCCTCCCTTCTACAAGCACATTAGCTTCAAGAGAAAACTTTGCAGGAAGTTATTTTCCAAACCTATGTCTTAACTTTTTCTTTTTCTAGAAAGGAGGAAATCTGTCCACTCACCTGTATCAAAGCCCACGCTTGGCACGATGTCCACTGTCCCATGAAAGGCGCCGGCCCATGCTGAGGTAGCAGTGGTGACTGTAGTCGGATCTGTCTTTGTGATGTCACACTGGGGAGCAGGAATCCTGGCAGTACGCACTGATGGCATTAGCAGGGGCCCGTACGCGGGATCCAGAGCAGAACCAGCAGCTGGGTGGTGGTGGTGGTGATGGTGGCGGTGGTGCATGTGGGCGTGAGGGTGGTGATGCCGCATGTACATGTCATGCATGTGGCTGTAGGATGGGCTCACCTGAGATGCCAGAGGATAATGCCAGGACTCAGACGCAGAAGGGGGTGGGGCAGGGCCAGTCTGATGCAGACCATGTCCTGGCCAAGAATTGGGGTCTGCTGTTGTAAAGGTTCCATGGGGTGCAGTAACTTGGAAGTCGGGATGAACACCCCCCAAACAGGGCGCTGGAGGGGGCTGGTAAGAGCTGGTCCAAAAGGAAGCTGGGAAATTACTCCGCTGGCTTGAGAGAGCTGAGCTGTCTGAGAAGACAGAAAATACATTATTTACATAAGATACAGTTCTGGGATAGATTTGCCTTTGCTTGTCCAGTTATGTTTTACAAACAAGTGGATTACGGCGCACTTTTTCTCTCTGCAAAGAGGAATAAGCTGGTACATGGTTAGGCTCTGGGAGCCCATGTCAGGGCAATGGGACACGTTTGAAGACGCTGAGTGAGCCCCTGCATTTGCTTGCTGGGCTTCCTCTGTCCCAGTCTGGGCTAAGGTTTTTGCTTCAGTTTAAGGACTGAAAAGGCTTATTTCCTATTGGGAGCCTGTGACTCTTAGTTCTAAACAGACATCATTGTTATATACTTCTCTGGCAAAGAACATTTGTGCCACGGATGAAGTGTGTGTAGAATGGAAATATTTTCATTAACTTCTTTTAAATATCAACATAATTTTTATTTAAACATAACATTTCAGGGTCCAAAGTAAGAAGCGGCAGTAAGATCACATGTAATTGTCCCCACAAAACCATTGATCATTATAAAGAATATATTTTATCTTTTTACTTTCTGTGGAAACCTAGAAGTCTTGTGATCTTGGAAATAACAATGGTTAACGCTTAATGAGAGTAGTCAAATGTCCAACACCAGCCCAAAGGCTGCACATGAGCTGGGAGAATTCTCACTCCAGTCCCATTAGAAAATGGAGGCAGGGCAGAAGTCTAAGAGGTCAGCAAGCACAAACCTACCTTCGAAACCAGATACCCTACAAAGGGCGGTGAACCTCATAATGACCAGGAGAGGGGCCAATTGTGACTGAAACCTGATCTGCTGGATTTAGAGACACTCTAGAATTGATAATCAACATCGGTTCAGGTTGAGCTAAACTTTTCAGGCCGTGGTAGGAAACTGGAAAACTACAATGCACATATGCAAGGAAGGAAGGAAGGCACATCCTCCTCCATAAGTTCCTTCAAGTCACTGTCTCTGTCATCTCAATGTTTGCAGGTGACCTACTTGGTTCAGACCAGAGAAAGTCAAAGACATATAGACACCTGTCACTGTTAATCACACCCAGGGGGTGCACAAGGGAGGAAGCCACGCAAATGTTTCACAAAATGAGCCTGAAAAGTGATAACCATGTCAAATTTGAATGACTTAGGAGGAGCTAGGCCTATGAAGGGGTGAGATGGAGTTCTAGACTGATAGAATTGCAGACGGAATATTAGCATATGTACACAGTCTACACAGGTGCATCAAACACAATGCCACCAGCATCAGTAGCATTTAAGGAATAAAATTCAATAGGCAACATTTGGTGAAACACACACACACACACACAGAGAGAGAGAGAGAGAGAGAGAGAGAGAGAGAGAGAGAGAGAGAGAGAGAGAGAGAGAGAGAGAGAGAGAGAGAATGGAGGGAGATATGAAGAACTCAGAAGTGTGGTCTTTCTGGTCAAAGAACTGAAATGAACTTCATCAGAAGAAACCTCCCATGGACCATGGAAAGGTTTTAAGACAGGCAGTGACAAGGTCAAATGTGTATTTAGAAAGGTCTCTGTTCACCCTATAGTCGGCATCTTGTAGCAATAATGTGTGTCTATAGAAGTCCCACCCTGGGAATCTTCCGTCACTTTCATTAGAGATATGTCTCTTCTCATAACCATAAGTGGACTTCTTGATCTCTTTGTTACTTTCTTCCATTAAAAATAACAAAGCATTTTAATTCATACATTTGAAATTATCTTGCTCAATACATTTTCATTCTGCCAAAAAGTCTATTGATTATTTCTGTTAAAGTTGGACATTAGGTTGAAACTAGCATTACTTATTCATATGCATTTTTGATGTTTTTACGCCAGGTTCAACATAAAAAAAATCTAGATTTTTCACACTGAGCAAAGGATAGCCTAAGAGGTGCTTATTGTTAGAAATATTTAATGAAACATTTGTTAATTCTTACACTTCCAGGACATGAACATATTTTTCTTGCCTCAATATAAATGATTTGAGTAAACTACCACATGTCACATGAGGTTCATAAAATCAGTCCATTTCTGTTAAACTCCGATATATTCTCTAAGTTCCCTAATGAGTTTGATATTATCAGAGCATGAAAATCCATTCTCTCCCCTTCAGATCTGCACCAGTGTTACCGTGATTCAACCTCTCACCCTGGAACAGGCACCTACACTTTCATAGTCAACTTTCTCTCTCATTACTGTGGATCTCACCCCATGAAGAAACCTTTGAAATGATGCTCTTCAAGGGGGAAAGGATAGAAACTGTTAGGGAAGCTTTCATTCACTCCCAGTAAGCTCTTCTATGAATGAAGGTTTCGTGACAATCACCACTGATTAAAAGACAGCACTCAGCACTTACAAACCAGCCTTACAGGCATTGTAGGGCAGCTTGCCAACCATCAATCTTCCACTTTATTGACACATTTCCCATCTATGGAACCATTCTGCTCATAATCTGTATCTCCTGGTACAACCAGAACCTAGATCTGAAAACTGACAATCTCTGATCCACAAAGATGTTCCAAGGACAAAAGTTCCTCTTATTGAACCTCCTGAGGAAAATGTCCAAAGTACAGAGATAATACTCTACTTATCTGGATATCTACCTTCCTCTTGATTCCTATCAAAATAGAATCACTCCTATTTTTTATAGCTGTATAAATATTGCATATATGCACACACTTATTCTCATAGTGGACACACTCCTTACCAAAGTATTGTATGTCCTACTTATGAAGCACTATATTGTGCTGAGTGAACATACTATCACTGAAAGAAGAAATCTAATTTTTTAAGGCACTCCATAAAAATTGAATCACTCTTTAGTAATCCCCATGGAAAAATAAAATTAAAATCATTTCATATTTTCCCAATCTGTATAGTGTCTCCTGAGATTAATATAAAGTTTGTAGGGATCTATGCAGTCCTTTTCAACAAACACTGCTGCATTTTACAAGCAAGTGAAACAATATTGAACGGAAAATATGTTCAAAATGAAATCTATGCTTCACGATCACTATCTGGTAACTTCTTGTTTAAAAAAAAGTGACACAAAGAAACAGATGCTACACTGTGCTTTGTGCTGGGGGACCAGCATGCTTACTTCATATGTGTGTAAATTTTTTTCATTATGTGACTTTTTGCTTACAAGTGCTTAATCACAGCCACATTGGTTGGATAAGACAGCAGATGAAAATCTGCAGGAGCTGTTTCCATGAAATGTTACCTTTAAGGTTAGTGGAAACAATTCCGAACTGTATAACATTAAGACTCAACTGGGCTTCTGGGGTCACCATTATTCAACATTCATGCAATATTAACATTCACATGGTGCTAGCACTGATAGTCTCCTACATAAAAATAGTAAAAAAATAAACCTAAATATGATTTTTGTTGAGTTCACTTTTAGGAAGACATACACATTTTTATTTCTAAAAAACGAAAGACAAGGCAAAATTGATGTGTTGTCCAATATCATCATTCCAAAGCATGACAGTAATCTCACCATCTGACTTTCAAGGAAAAAACTTGTTTCATAGAGAAGCAGAGGAGTTGAGCATATCACAGAGGCCAAGTACTCTTTTTAGAATTTCATAATACTGTGGTGCTTTTTATAGCAACTCTACACATCAAAAATAAAATGAATGAAAGAAAGAAGAAAGGAAAGAAAGAAAAAGAAGGAAAGAAAGAGAAAAAAGGAAAGAAAGAAAGAGAAAGAAAAAACAGAAATAAAGGAGAGGAAAGAAAAAAAGTAAGAATAAAAACCGTCGAACAGTTTAGGTAGGATTAAAATTTTAATTTTTTCCAGATAATAAAAACAATATTAAATGTAAAATAAGACAGAGAAATATTATCATATATCATCTTTAATAATATCATGCTGACACATTCTTAGAGTAAATATTAGCATCCAACATAGCATTTTCTTATAAAATTCACAATAAAGAAAAAATATTTAGAGCATCTGGGGCTCATGCCTGCAATCTCAGTGGTCAATGGGACTAAAGAGGCCAGAGGAGTCTGAAAATTTGCCAACAACCTGGGTTGAGAGTGTCTACAAGGTATGACAGACCTAGGAGCAAGACCCTGCCTCAGAGAGGAAGAGGAAGAAAGAGAAGAACAAGAAAACAAAGCAAGAATACTATTTCAGCTCAATGCTTAACCTAAAGGGTTCTTGATACCTTTGAAGGTCCACTTCCTGGTTCTTCTGATTACTATGAAAACCCACTATTAGATCTTTTTGGTCATTCAGAAATTATGCACTGACATAGGATCCAAAGTTTGTCCTCCAGCTACTTTGTTGGCCTCATGACTGCAATGAGAGCTAAGCCTTGAAGGCACTACCATGAGGTGAGTCAGGCCTCACTTTCCTCCCTCTTGCTTTTCTAACTTCCTGGAAGCCACAGCCTCCAGGGCCTCCTTGAGAGTCTGCACAGAATCTTCATTCCCTTAGGACATAGCCCTTCTTTCTTGGCTCTGCTTAACCTACACTGCTCATTCTGAGTGGTTGTTCCCACATAGCTGAATTTCCAAGCAGACCCAAGCTGCATAAGCTAAGTGACAGATACATTTATTTTAAGGGTGCAAGAAAAACCAATGGCAGTAACTGTGGTAGAGCACCATTTTTAATTCAGAGACCTACTCTGCTACATATTATTTTACCACTGCCCTTCTTCACACTATGCACACATACACACACACACACACACACACACACACACACACACACACACGAGAGAGACAGAGAGAAGGGGGGAAGAAAGACATACACACACACTGACAGTCACACACACACTGACTCACACTTTCTGTGGAAAAAAAAAGCATTAATTGCATCTGAAAGTGATGTTTCAGTCTAGATGATAGATGGGAATAAAGGGGGTAATCAGATTTATTTTGTTTTCTTAACTGAAGTGCATAGTGATGTGCACCAAAACAAGGTACAAAAACTTTCTTCCCCTTAACTGTTTTCTACATGTCAAAACACTTTTCCTAATCCTATCAAGAACACATGAATTCAACTATAATCACTATTCTCTTTGTCTAAAAATTTACTATGGAAATTCATTGCTCAAACATAATTCAGTTGGAAGTTCATATGTAGCACACCATTAGGATTATAATAACTCCATGCTACAAGGCAGAGTGTTTGATATAGGTGGGTTGACCAGCAGTTTCTTTCAAAACTATCCCTAATGATTCCATTGACATTATCATTAATCTTGAATCCCTATTATATTGAAGACATTGCTTCATGCTAAAAATATGAGCATCCAGAAAACAACGTTCCTAGATAACGACTCAATATTGTTTTTTCATCCACAAGTAAGTGGCAATAGTTCAGGGGCTAGGTCACCTCAAGCTCCACAAGAAAATCATTCGTATATTGTGTGACATATTTTTGTAATAACCCTTAAATATGGGTAGTTGCAAGCACATGACATTGTTAGAGAAGCTGAGCTCACAGTAGATTTTAAGTTGTTGCACCAACACCACTTTGCAAACATCAAGGAATAAGGGGACAACCAGAATCCGTAATGAATAGGATCCAATGATTGAATTAATTAGTATTATGTTAATTAAGATTAGTGATGACCATGTCTCTTCCTAGCATATGTGACTCTCATTCATTATACCTCATCTTTAAGAAGGTTTCTCTATCTTTAGTAACATGTTGTGGCTTTCCCATGAATCCTACTCAAGTTTTGTGTGTTGATTTGAAAGAATTTTGCAACTAGAAGCAACAATGGCACTACTTAGTTCACAAATGGAAAGTAAACAATGCATTTTTGCCCAATCAATAATTACTGGATCCTGTGCCTTAATTTTAAAACAGCAATCAATATGCATACCTATAACCCGAGCATTGTAGTGCAGACAGAAAGATTGCTGGGACCTGCTGGCTGCCAGCCCAGATCCAGATTTAGACAGTAGCTGTACCATTATGGAATAAGACAAAACTTGATAAATCAGGGGACCCAAGGTCTACCTCTGACCTCCACTTGTAGGTGCATAGGGTTTTGAACCAGCAGACACATACAGATTGAGAAAGGGACTGGGGGGGGGGGGGATTGGGAAGGAGGGAGAGAAGGATGGATGAAAAAGGGAATGAAGGAAACAAGGAAACTATACCTAAAGGTTTCACATATTTGATTTAAAAACTGCTCTGTGAAGACTTTTTTTTTTTAATATTGGATACATGGCATGAACTTTGCTCACATAATTTCATCCCTTGATCACTGGATTATATTTAGCTTAATGTATTCATGTAGAAAAGTGTTACCTTGAGTATTGAGGGAATTGATGTAAGATAACTAAATACAGTATTTGTAGACTTGGTGGGAGAAGAGACAAAAAGAGATGAGACACTGGGTAGGGACACTACCCTACATACATAAGCATGCTTGCTTCTTATTGAGCATTCTAAGCTCCACTCATCTTCAGGGACCTTGCACTGTATATTCCTTCTGTGTAGATCATCTTTTACAGAAATCTTCATGGGAGGAATGCCCTCATTTCCTTCAGGTCTATGTTCAGATGTAACTATCTTTGCATAGGCTTCTATCATCACTTTCAGTAAAGTAACGCCTTGCATGTCACTCATTATATTCTTGTTTATTACTTATCTCTATTATTAAAATAGCAACTCCATGAATATGAAGCCCAGTAACTTGAAAATTACATAGCACATAGTAGAAACTTAATAAACATTTATGGTAATGTCAACAAGTAAGTTAGCATACATGTGGAAAGGCCAAATTTAAGATGATGTCAAGACAAGGCTAGCAATAACTATTAAAACATGGCTGCATTCTCCCATTCTGTACAAAAATCAGCTAGCTAACCAAAGCTTTCCTCTGGTCCTAATTTCTACACAGAACAGACGAATTGTTTAAGAGTCATTGCACACACACTAAAAGTCTTCTGACTTTGGTACTATACATGGCCTTATGCGCCAGGTAATTTGGTAGTCTACTTTCTCCTTTCCAGACAAAATCATCACAGGATTACATATTCCAGTATGCTGAAATAAGGACCATTGCATCATTACTCTCCTAGAACGAATTATGTTGATGTGATAAATTATTGATGTATCAAATTGTTTACATGAAACCAACTGAATCACCGAAGATATCTTCAAATTATTCACACAATTTCTCATGAGCGATCAAATAGGATACTTGCTCCTTCTGCAAGCACAGAAAACTCTCAAGATCTCTCTGTTCCTCCACAAAGCTCACAGCACATAATTGCCAGTTCAGCAGTAGTCATGTGGGTGACCTCTATCAAGCCTCTATTCTTTGAGTTTATATTCTGTTGCCCCCTTTCAGTGCCTGATTTATACTGAATACATTTGCTAGAACGGAAAAGAAATAAGGAAGAAAAAAGGAAGGAAAGGAAGAGGAAGAGAAAAATAGAAGAAAGGACAGGTAGTGGGAAGGAAAGCAAGAGAGAGTGACAAAATAAAACACGGGTAGGACGAACAGCGCATCTGTAGATAAAGGCCAGTGGTGACAACACAGGTCCTCTCGAACAACAGAGCCATGGCTGTGACAATGGTATGAGCCATTAGTCAGGATCATGATAACAAGACCCTACCTCAGGTAGATATCATTGCTTGTCACAGGTACTGCTCAGGACAGTTGCTACTGATGATTGTCTCCACCTTCCTGCAGAACTTTTCACTCTATGGAGTCCTCACAAACAGGGACACCAGGTCACTGATTCCCAAACCTAATTAACCCACAACAGTTTCTCGTCTAGGGGCTTGGATGAAGGATCAACATTGTTTTCTAAAAGGATCTCTCCTGAGGCCTACAGTTTACAATTTTATTAGACACTTCTTGGGGGTGACTTTGAAACAAAATATCCGCGCATGACACATTTCTCTGAAGCTGTCTTTAGAGCGAGCACTACTTTTTCTCTCATCGACCACCATTTCTAATCCGTCACTCACCAACTGCCTTTTTAAAACTAGAACACAGATGCAAGCAAATCCCTATGCTAGCCACAAAGAAGGAAATAAAGGAGAGCTCTTTCAATCCGAAGCTTTTTGTTTACTGAGGTAATACATCCAGATACTACCTGAGTGAGGACAGTACCCTATAAATGCTTCACAGCAAGTCAGTTGGAAGAAAGACACAGAGAACACAGGCAGCTTTCCAAGTCCGTGTTCCAGGGTAAGAATTAGAACTCAGCTGTGTCACCACGTCATACCTAGTGGAGTGAGCAAGAATACATTTTTTAGAAGCCGATTCGGGCACGCCTATTGTTTAGAGACCCACACTGGGCCACAGGGCCTTTACGAATGGAGATCCAAGCTCAGTCTGGCCACTCTAAACTGGGGCCACTTGTATCACGGCTTTTTCCATGAGGAATTTAAGGGGTGTGAGTGCATCCTTTCCAACCCTGCATTCCACATGTGACAAAACTGATCCAGCTGTTTGTCTGAAAGAAATTCCTTGCTGTCCTTAAAAATTAAAAAGCAAGTGAATATCCGTTCTCCAGGGGCAAGCCTCCAGCTGGAGCCTGGCAGAGGCAGTTGCGAAACGGCGTGCTCCGAAGGGCATCTGCTCTTGAATTCTTACCTCGCCATAGGGGGGTTAGCCCCATCTTGCTTTTTGAAATGGCAGATTCTGGATGCAAGGTGCTGGCTTGGCCCAAAGCTCTTGAGAAGTGTTCATCCACTACTGACCCAATGTCTCCCTGGAAATAAGTGAAAAGGACACAGCGAGAGTTAAGGTACTCCATCTCGGCAGGCTGGTCTTTCTCCTCCTCCTCCTCCTCATCCTCCTCCTCCTCCTCCTCCTCTTGTTTGCTGGGAAGCGTGACTTCCAGAGAGTCCTGCATCTTGCTGTATACCGCTAACTTCTTCTGGGATAGAATAAACAAAACATAGTATCAAAGACAGTTTGTGGAAAAGCGTTAACTAGTTAACTTTTCACTTTAAAAAGAAAAGAATGTAAATATTAACATATGTTTGCAAACTGAGTGTCCATCATCTGCTGTACTCCATCTTTTCCCTCCCCAGACCAGTTGCCTCCTCCCACACTAAGGAAAAAGTCTGTTATTCCAAATTTGGCAAAGGGGACCATTATCAAATTGTACAATTTTCAGCATGTCAGACAGATTTTTTTTTTGCTTTTGCTTTTGTTTTAAACCCAGCTATACTAAATGAATGATTTTTTAAATCCGGATTTTTTAATGCTCAATTTTTATTTACATTTAAAAATCTAATGTACAGTGACATTCTACTTTAAGACAGTGGAGATGTGAGAACTAACTGTCCAGGGGAGGGTGGAGAAGAAAAAACGCTTTTCATAAATGAAATAAACTAAAATCAAAACAGGAATGCACCATCTTATAAAAGGATTTGGCAGATGTGCTGAGCTCATTTCTCAAAAATCAAACTGAAATGACAAAGTAAGTCTGTGTGAAGATCCATTTTACACGGACCATGTTTTTCTTATGTTCCACTCACCACTATTATCATGGAGGGGGAGAAGGAGTATACCGTGGCTTACTACAAATAAAACAAAATACTAGCAAAGGTTAGCTCTTCACATAAAAATGAGCAGAGCTTGCTATCTTAAAATATTTCAACATACGGTCATACCTACAGTAATCAATAATATGTGTTCTCCAAGAATCTTCCCTAAAGCCTCACCTATCTGACCTGAGTTGATTTTTACACCCCTATAACAAGAGTAGTGTTGCTGGGTGTATCTTAAAATGAGGAACAGAGAAGTTAAGTGAGCTGCCACTGTCACAAAGTATAAGACCAGCGAAGCAGTGCACAGGAAACAGGCAAGTGTAGACGTACATGTACAGCTATATTGGGAGGTAAGAAGCAATGTCTACTCTAGGGAAAAAAGTCACCAAGTAATTATGATCAATGTTGTTTGACCGAATGGAAATTTGGTAGCTAAGTGTTGTTTTTCTCTGACCTGCTTTTCAACCTTTCTAAACATTTTCAGTGAACGTGTATGACTTAAGGATTACCAACAACTTCACTGTGGATGACACGCAAGAGTACATTCCTGGCGGCCACATAAACATTCCATATGAATACCATAACAGCAAAATTCAATTTCTTTTCAAATCATTTTTCTTATTTCAGAAGAAATTATGCATGCTGGCAAAATGAGCATGAATAGCAAGAACAGATAATTCCAGAATCCTCAGTAGTTTTGCATGTGTTAGCAACATATAACTCAGATTTTATGCTTCTAATTAATTACTGGTTTGGAAGCTAATAACCACCAATTGCATCTTCAATTAATCATTTTCTTCTAGCAACAAATATATTGATCATTTTCCAGGTGTTTTCTGAAATGGGCATAAGATGAGGGGTTGATCATTATCTGGGAAGTATTAATTACAAATATATGTGGCATTTTAATGTAAAATCTACATCAGTGTGGTTAGTATTTTCTTATGAATACATAATTTATTCCATGTGAATACATGTGTCTTATTGATGAATAGATAGTTATAATTCCATCTGCTTATATTACTTATGATCTGGTTGTGTTCAAATTTGACTTCAAAAGTAAAACTATGTTATGATAGGTTATGCAGAATGCAGGAATTTAATTCAATGACTTCTCATTTTAAATTTAATTGTAAAAGTAAACAAAAGCTATAAGTTTCTGGTCAAATCACAATGTTATTTTTTCTGGGTGCATGCATATTTACTTACTAGCCAGCATGGTTATAGCTGTGCGTAACTCTGTCCTGGCTATTCTGGTTTGTGTGAAATACCACCTTTCTACTGAAAGGAAATTCAAACTGATCCACAGAGCAGTTTCTCTGTTCAGAGTGCTCACTGCCACGTGAAGCTGATTTACCTTTCCTGTTACTGACCTTCACAGGCTTAGTTTGTGAGTGTGTGCCCTGCACATACCTCTCTCATTTCTTTATTCTTAAAATGATGTCAATTAGCCAAACAAAAGAAAGGAATTGCTACACGGAATTAGCTCTTCCATGAAATAAATTCAATACAAGCAAAATATTTTAAAAAACGAGAAACATAAATGAAAAAAATCCTTTGTAATAAGAGACAGCAATCATATTTTTGGTTGTGAGCCCAGCCTTTAACGGCTGAGCCATCTCTCCAGCCTGTGATAGCAATCATAAAGTATCTCGAGATCAGCGGCTGGCAGCTGGATTTAAACTATAGATTTTCAATCTAATGTTGCACAGCCTTGTAAATGCTGAGTAATTCCAGTTTTTTCCTACCAACTATGGAATGGTTACCTACAAATAAATTAATATTTAAAATCCCATACTTATCCATGGGCAATGAGATCAGAAGTAAGCTAAATCTTATATGGCATAATCACCATCATTAGGTCTAATTTGTAAAGTTCATTCTTTTGTCACTGTGCTCATTAATCAATTCTCTGCATTTTTATATTTCATACATAAACAACATATCTCTGCTTGTATAACTATGCATGACAAAATATCCCTTTTTGACATCGCGGATACTTGTAGTTCAATCAAAAGTGAGTCTACGATCTACCAACAGCAGGACATACAAATGTTTATGATTCTACTGGTACTTTTCCCCCCATATTTTGCTCACACTTTCATACTTTGCAGTGAAACTATTTGAATATTTACATTTCCAACATATATTTAGCCTCCAGATATTCCTGACTAAAGTAAGAATTTCAAAATGTATATATGGTCTGATAACTGGGAAAACTGTTAAGTTTGAATTTGCATAACTGTTGTAACTGAACTAACAGCAGGAAGGAAACAGAAGCATATCATTTAAACATTATATAGCTTGTATGCTAGCCTCGTGCCATCTAATTTCTCATGCTTGAGCACCAACCACTTTCCAACACCCACGGTCTGTACTTTTTCTTAGAATACATTCCTCGCATTCACTCCATCTCTATTCTACTTGCACTCACAGCCTTTATTTTTGCATGCTATTTCTCCTAGTGATACATGATTTTGTTGGGAAAATATAAATCTTAAGGTTGCCATGAAATCTTAAAGTATCAGAACAAAGATTTACAGAATCAAGATCAAAATGTCATCTAATTTGTATATTTTTAAAAATACAACTTTCTATAATATATCCAAATATCTGATAAGTAGCTGCACTCTTCTTCTACAAGATTGTGAAGAATAGTTGAGATGAATTATGGCTGGAGAGTTGGCTTGGTAAGTAAACACTTGCCAAACAAGCACGAAGAACTGAGTTTGGATCCCCAGTACCCAGTACCCATGTAAAAGCTGGACAGGCTTAGTAACAGAGCCTATAATCCCAGCACCAGGGAAGCAGTTATAGATCTTTGGAGCAAGTTGATTGGACTAGAACAGCCAGACATCAAACACGTGAGCCCTGGTTCATGCAATAGACTCTGTCTCAATATTTAAGGTGAGAAATAATGGAGGAAGACACTCAAATTCAGCCTCTAACCTCCACACACACTTGTGCATACATACAAGTCCCCACTTACACACATGCATATCATCAATCATTTGAACACACATACACATTTTTATCACACACACACACACACACACACACACAAACACCAGGTTGGTTTAGATAATACACGAGTACATGTTTCAGTGTCACTGCACAGTAGAGGCTGTTACCTCCAGATAATAAGATTCCAGTTTGGTGAAACAATGAAGGGGTTAATAGCCAGAATAGAGGCCAGCTCACAAAAGAGGAAGATAGAAAGGGGAATGAAAGTTGACTTAGTCAGTGCAAACCCTAGTGATCACCTCAGAGCCTGCCATCAGGCACAACAGAAACAAACTTCAACGGGAATGTGCCGGGGAAGGATTTTGTCTGACAGGAGAAAGACTTCCAGGTCAGGAGCCAAATACCACTAACTCCCCAAGGCTTAAGCCACAAAATGCCAAATGCTTATTGTGCATGTGTGGAAAGTTTCTTCCTAAGGAAACAAAACTATTTTAATGAATCACCAAAATCACTGGATATTTAGAAAAAGGTTCTGTAAAGAAAACAAAAACTCTACTGACTATATTCTTTAAATGAAGTGACTGTGTAGGTAGGAAAGGAAGGAAGGAAGGAAGGAAAAGAGAAAGAAAGATAAAGGTGAGAATCTGTAGAAAAAATTACTGGTCTACTTTGAAAGAATTAAGTCCAGAGAGTCAACCCATTGATCTTTTATCCTTTTTTAGTTTACTTGTAAAACAAATTTAAAAATATCTCAGAGATTTGTGGGTATATCAGGAAATATGTGCTTAAGGAAAATATAACACAGAACTTCTCTATGTTTATCAAAATTTTCAACCAATGTTTATTCATTTGTGTTCATCTAAGTGTGTGTGTGTGTGTGTGTGTGTGTGTGTGTGTGTGTGTGTGTGTGTATTCTCATGAATGTGTGCTATAGTTTGTATGTGGAGATCAGAGGACGTCTTGTAGGAGTTGGTGGATGTACAACATGAATGGAATTTAGGTCATGAGGCTTGGAGGTAAGTGCCTTTAGATGCCAAGCCATCTCATGTTCCATCTATCTTTTGCTTCTTACATATGCAAATATTTCCCACAGTGATTACTCATCATTTACAAATGCAAAACTTCTTTCCATAGCTAGGATCACCTGACTAGTAACGGTCATGGGATTAGAACCACTTTCTATGTGTCTATAAAGCTTGTGCTGAGAAAACATGGCAAAGTGCATGAGTCTAAATAAGATATTTATTTTGACTGATGAAATAGAAGCTAACAACATGGTATCACATGTTGACTAGCATAGTCTACAACATTTAGAAACTAAAATTAGAAACATCAACAAGCTTGGGCACTTGCCTAGAAGGCATGAAGCCCTAGGTTTGATCCCTGATACCACAAAAGAGAAATAGTTTTAGCTTAA